AACCCAGCTACTTGGTATCTGTTGTCTACCATCTAAACATAAGATGTATAGAAGAACTACATACTCATTATCCTTAACGACCAGTCAAACAGAATAAGTCCCTGGCTAATTTAATCTATTTACTATTCTAAAAACAATAGACAAACATCCAATCATGCAAAGCAGTAGGCTCCTGGTTGATTTGATAACTAAATTATAATTTATTACGAGTCAACACATTTTTATTTAATTTCCAAAGGAAATGAGAAATGAAATGGGCTTGGATTAAAATGGACATTTGAACTTGTCATTCCTAAAATGTAAATGATATGAAGCACCGATCAAAGAATATTATAGAAACACTGGAACAAGAAACCTTTCTTTTCTCCCACGAACCAAAGGTTTAATTACGCATGGTTTTACAGTCATAGTTTCCATTTATATGAAAATCAGTCATTTGACTAATGCAGAGAAGTCAATAGCCCGGAGAACTGATGAGTGTAGTTTGAATGTTTATTATGAAAAAACAAACGTGCTATTCAAAACATACCATTAGCCAAATATGTGTCAGTCTAAAGAGCTCAATGTTCATACAACACTCTTTAAGGATTGGCAAACGGCAGTTATATTGTATAACGCATATATGGGTTTGCGCTTATATAATGCTACAAAGTCAGTGACAAAGGAAGCTTTTAATAATACAAATATCAATATCAGAAACATTTTGTCTAGTAGAGTGGCATAAAATATGCAACTTAACATGTAATGTTGTCTTTATTCCATTATCTAGCGTTAATGGGTATGACAGCTGTTTTGGAATGACATGATTGTTCGCAAACAAATTCAAGGCAATCAAGACTTTCCATTAAGCCTATTGTATTCATTTGAATGCCCTTAATTTGTATCCGTACCTGTATCACCTGGGTATTTTCATAACAGCCTAGAATGCACTGTGATTGGGTGCTTGTTGCTCCTTCCAGTGTACATAAGACCCTTGACAAGAGATAACTCCACAGACTGGAACATCAACTCAATATGGAGCACATATGCACAAGTGCGCTCAGGCTTCTCATCCTTGCAAGTGTTTTCAAGTTGGACCTCTGTGGGTGGAAGTATGTCGATGTAAGTATGACATGGTCAGAGGCCACACAATACTGCAAAAATCATTATATCGATCCGTCTTCAATCTGCAACCAGGTGCAACATGATCAACTTATGGCGAAACATGAAACTTACATGCGTAAAGATGCGTGGATCGTATCCTACCAAGATGTTGACGGAACGTGTACAAAATTGGAACATTGGTATGCAGTTCGAGTTAGAACCATTTGTGTGGTACTAACTGAAAAAGGCTGGCTCAAAACGAATTGTAACCAGAAATACCCTTTCTACTGCTATAATGAAGAACTGGTCTTGGTGAAAGAAAAAAAGACGTGGGAGGAGGCGATGGAGCACTGTCGCTACCAACACACCGACCTGGTGAGCCTCAACACAGGAGATGATCTGGTTCAAATCCTGCAGACCAGCGCGGAAGCCCAGACAAACCACGTGTGGACCGGAATGCGCTACCTGGCGGGCAGCTGGCTGTGGGTGAACGGGGACAACATGACAAGCCAGGCATGGGGCAAAGAGGGGCCACCCCAGTGCCCCGCCTGGACTCACCACTGTGGGGCCCTCGCACGAGAGGAAAAGCACCTGGACAGCTGGGACTGTGCAGCCAAACTCAACTTTGTCTGCTTTTAAAATACTTGGATATATCTTGATTAGCATGGAAATATAGAAGTTATAGAGATATGTTGGTGCATTATAAGGATATCCTAGTATGTCCCACTCATTTAGAAAGATATAAAGGTAGTCTAATGTAAATGTCAGAAAAAGGCAGCATATTATTATATACCATACTTTTCTTATCCTTTATAAAATGGATTGCTTAAGTTGTCCTTCATATATATATCAGTGTCAGGGAAACTCATTAAGAGATGAAATTGTTGTGATTTGGAAATGTAAACATCATGTTTATTGGTAAACTATTTAACATAAATGATCAAATGGTTTAATTGTGACTCATTACCTGCCTATGACATTTGTTATGTACATTTTTTTCCGAAGACATACTCATTCAACCAATGTCCTTATGATTGGTGCAAATAGATACAAAATATTCATGAAGGCCACCTACTGTTTTCATGGATAAAAATAGAAATAGTAAAACATCTTCTAATTGGTTCACTGACATGACAACTAATGTTACTTTGGTATACTTTCACCAACTAAATATTATCGACATCATACAGTATGCCTTTTCAGCGTTGTCATGTAACAATTGAATATCCTTATATAAAACCTGTTTGTGTTCAATCTGTATCTTAACAACATGTTCTAATGCAAGAGTGTTTTGTGCCAAAAAGGCAATGACCTATGCACTCCCGATGGCTGTGAAGCAGATTCAGTCACACAACAAAATGTCAAAAAGCCACACGTCCTTCTGGGTGTTGATATTCTGGAGAGGGAATGTGTGTGTGTGAAAAGTATGTGTAGGTGTGTGTGCACAGCTGATGTAGCGGCAGTAAATTAACAGCTGCTGTCATTCTAGCTGATGTGACCTTTTTCAACCCTTGTTGTTACACCCTGACAGCACATACATGTCTGCTGTTACGGTTCACTTACCGAGCCCACTGGGCTAGAGGCTTCTGCCCAGCTGAGTGGGTGCAAAGGTCAGCGCCGTGTTTGCTGATAGCCGCTCGGGAATGACTCTGAACATGGCTGTATCGCTCCATCGCTGAACTCCTGCAACAACAAATAATATCCAAACATATGAAAATGTCAGTGCTTAAAACATCAAAGATCACATTTGCCACACAATCAAGGACAATTTATTAGCATTATTTTTTACTATAGGCTACCTGGGCAACATTTTTTCCACTAATTTGGTGTGCATATCTTGCTTAATAAAACTTTAACATGCGGACATCATACCACTCTACTAAAACCCCAAACTTGTCACAACATAACAAAATATCAGGTACATCTGTCATACAATCCTAAAAAAAAATGTAAAGCAATGCAATGCATTGAATGCAATGTATAACCAGTTGTGGAAAAGGTAATTAAATCTTTAATTTGCAGTTAAAAATGTGCCATGTTAAAAGTACAGACATACTTGAAGCAACATGTACTCAGGTGCTAAAATGAATAGTACTCTTTATCCAGAATAACCCTTTCAGATTAATAAGAGACCATACAGTATGCTATGCTACACATATTATTGGTTTAATATACCACAACAAATTAGCATTTAAGTCAAGTTGAGTTAACCACTTTATATGGAGAAGATAGTACACAACAACAGTGCACATTTCATAAATGTATCTTTAAAAATGAACCTCCTATAAAACAATTTTCAAATATAGTTGTTGGTTAAAAAGGAGGCTACAATATTCTCATTAAGTAAAAAGTATCTCAATTAGCCTACGAATACAAATTACTTTTCACTGCAGCACAGATGAAAAGTAAATAGTCACTACTCACTAACACTTTCACAGCATGCAAAAACAACCTGGAGAGAATGAGTTTGGGTAGAGATAAACTTAGTATTAATTGTTTTCCCAGTCAAGAACACCCCAAACTAAACACTGTATCTCCACCTACTGGGAGTCAATCGTAATTTCAACTCATGGTCGCTGTTGAAAAAATATCTGATTAATACCAGAGAGGTCTAAATACTCGAAACTGAGCTCACGTGGTGTTGTTTTCGGCCTGGGAAGTTTATAGTATGTGCTCGGTGTTTACCTGCTAAAACAGTGTTGCTAGGCGACTAATGGAACCGCTTGTTCTCTTGTCAAATACTTTTAAGGTTGAATGCATTTTAAGCCAAGCCAAAGACCAAAAACTTGTACTTAACTAAAATAACACTACAGTAGTTTAATCATGTACTTACTTGAGAAGAAGTGTGTGTGTCAAGGTACGACGGGCACACCTGTGATTAAGGTTCTCTGATCTGAACTGGAGGCTCGGCTGATATCCCGCCAAAACGTGATTGACGTAATGTGCCAATTACCGTAAGGGGTGAGAACGTCACTGACCGTAAATTACACTGACATAATGATATCGGTTCTTATTATACATCCTTGGCACTGCGAACGACAAAGCAACAACTCGATGTATGGCTTTGTCGTTGCTACAGCTCCGGAAAATTAAGAAACCACTAGAAAATGTTTCTTAAATCTCAATCTCTACATGTATGGCAGCCATTCCGGTGTCTGTTGCATTCCAACACTGAGAAATGTTGTCAGTAGTTTATGGAATAAAAAAAACATGTTAATTTTACTCGAAGCCAACATAAATAGTACAACCAGATAAACTGATAATGCTGCAGTGGTCTCTTAATTTTGTCCATAGCTGCATATGCTCTATCTATGCCATGCAATAATCTATAATGGATCAGAATCAGAAATTAGATAGGTACATAGGTTACACATACTTGGTGTCATGGTGCATAGCTACAATATAAAACAAAAAATATTTAAGGACACTGTAATAAAATATAGTTAAATAGCAATAAAATAAAGCAGTAATTTACAGTGAAATAGAGAAACTAAAATAGCACAATTCCCCCGAAAACCTGTGGCCATTTATCTCTTCTCACAAGTTGCATTCAGTACAAGTAGGCTAGTAGTAGCATAAATAGGATTATAATTATTGTAGAAGCCTAGTATGGGACAAATTACTATATTTAGGCTAAATCATAAGTAGGCCTACAACATTATGTAGATATGCTATAAACCGCGTCTTCAAATATTTATATAATGTCAATTCAGACAATTTCCCTACCAAATTAAGAACATGGTCATGCAAAAGAGCAGTCAAAAAGCATACAGCTAAACACACACTTATATTAAGCTTAAACCATAGACATGGCTTTCTTAAACACATCCACTTTTCCAATCCAACTGTTTGTGTTGCACTGTAAGGTTACACTGCCATCTGCTGCAACAAAAACGAAACTACAATTTAGACGCTTTTTATTTTTTGTCTCGTCACCTCACAAATTGATGCAGGTTCTACGGATTACAAAACACTTGTTATACAAGAAAAGTAATCACATTGCCATAATGAATATACAATACAAATATGGCTGTGACAATGTCTATTAAGAAGACACACTATCAATCACAAGGGGATATAGTGAGATCAGAAGTAAGAATTGACAACAGTAGATTATACATAGCATAAAATTAACCTTTTGGGCAATGACCTAGCCTATTTAAAATAAAGCAATGACTTCTGGCTTGATATGGGTTGTAAAAAGTTCAGAACAATTGTTCTATCCGTGTTGGATGTTTCCTTTTTAATGAATTTAAAAAGGCATGATTAAAGAAGAAGGACTTCAGTTTCTAATCCACACGAACATTATGTTATACAGGTACATACAAGTAGGCTACACACAGTTGTTTACAACATGCACATACTGTATACAAATACACACAGCTATTATGCACACATGCACATGCATTGAGATGTACACATTTTCCGTAGGCCTATCGGATTTTTTCATTTCTTATTAGACCTTTTTATTCCTCGGGTTGGAACAGGTTCCTATAGGTTGCTTTAGAATATCCTAATGTATTACACTATGTGACTGTCGACAGGCTGGGGCCCTTATACATAGAAATGTTTAGGCTACTCTAAAAAAAAGAATATCAGAGTCTTGCACGACATGTGGAAGCTGCGTCAAATGGAGGTAGTTTACGGTAAAAACGGCGCCCTTTTACCATGTGATTTCACCGATGTTTGTAAACATGCGTCAACCACATGTGATTTTGACGATGAGGAAATAGTGTCCGGCCAACCAGCGGCCGGGGGTGTATCAGGGGCGGGGTTCCAGTGTTGCGCTATGGAAAATCGTACAAGAGATACAGAGTGATAAACGTGCCCTCCGAGATTGATAATAGAGACAATAAGGCTGAAACGGGAACGTAGCAACCTGAGGACCGGGTCTGAGAGGAACAAGCCGGGAAATGGACCTGCCCGCCTAGGAACAGAAGGGGAACATGAATGGGATAAAACACGTAAGTCATTTATGTCATTAGGACGAGAGGATATACATAATGCTGCGTATGGTGCGTAGAGAATACCACTATGCTTTTCATAACCACTCAACAACTGGGTGAATAGGTAATAAAGCGAGCCTAGTGGAGCTGTCGTAAAAGTGCAAAGAATATTGAAAGCAATAATATAAAAGTCAAGTGTTTGCAGGGAAACAGGACGCAGGGAGTTGTTTATGAAAAAGCCTGATGAAAAGTGTGTTCATCATCGACATGACAACAGGTAAATTTAACTGCGTCAGTGAGAGGGACCGACACATGCAATCCAGAGGGACCTTCATCTGCGATGGTGGAACATGCTGTGACGGTGTGAAAGCGATGTTGTTTCTGGATCCAAACCTTGCTTCGGGGCTGATTGTAATGATAAAACAAAGGTGTAAACAAAGCGTAAAGTCGGTGGGGATGGCGTGTGAAGGGAGAGCTCGGAATAGGATGCTGCGCAAGAGGTGGATAGTGCGTAGCAAGAGATGGATAGTGCGTAATCCTGTTGTGGAAGGAGACGACGATGTTATGCAGTTCATATTGACACGATCATTCAACTCCTCATTTATAAAATGTTATTAGAACGAAGGTGTCCTCTTTCTCTTTATTTTTTTTAGAAATCAGGATAAAGAGACTTTCCAAGCATAGTCACATATTGACGCACGGAGGGTTGTGCTGTTGCTTGCGTAATTCCAGAGGAAAACTTAGAGCAACACAATGGTGACGCAGCTTGCTTTATCTTTGAGATGTCAAACAACATTTGCTGCGTCACCGAGATCCCAGAAGGTCCTTTATAGTAATTCAGGCTTTTTATTGCGCACTTGATATGATGAAAACAAGCTCATTTCTTGAACATAGGGGGGGCTATTGAGTAACAAACACTTGAGAATGTATCATCAGCTGTGAAGGGATGTTGACATCCAGGTATTCGTCATCTATAACCTGAATACTTACTGTTTTATTTTATTTTTCTATCTAGGGTCTATTTTATGTCATTTTACACAGATGACGAATTATGTAACTACAATACATGACACAAAGCCTTGAGCTTTCTCTGTTTTGTGAGCTGTTGTTGCTGTGAGAGAACCATTTAGTGGATTTGTCTCCCTTTACTAGATCTTGTAATGCACACCCGCCAAAGCACAATAGGACACTGAAACGCCTGATGGGATGTTGCTGGCCTCTGGCTCTCGTACATTTCCAGTGACCCCAGTGAGGGGAAGGCCTCCTGCTGCTTACCTGCCAGAAGGGTGCGGGAGATAAAGTGATTCGTCACATCTTAGAGCGGTGAGGTGAACATGAGGCACACAGGAGGAGCAAACTCCCTCCTGCCAAGCGGATTTGTTTGGTCAATGGGTGAATCAGCAGTCGCTTCTCGCGTTGCTAAACCACTGGCAAGAAAATGGAAAGAGAGAGAAAGCCTGAGAGAGAAGGGGAGGGGAGCTTTATTAAGTGTAGTAAATACAAACTTGACTCTTGAGGGAATGTCACTATGGTAGTTTTAAAACAACAGGTAAAGGTCATGGGAGGAAGTACAAGCTGATCTCTTAAAGAGTGTCAGGGGTGGCTTTACTGCAGCAACAACATCCCGTTTGCTTATTTGCATTATATGAAAACCAAAACTCCTGAATGTTTTTTTACTGACAACCATATCCTCTGCAGTTGTGATGTTATCATGCCTTTGGAGGCTGACCAGTAGAACAAGTGACCCACTTTCACAAAGAAGAAAACGTGACCTCAGTTATTTTGCCATTCTTTCAGCGAGGGGCGCTGCCTCTAAAGTCAAACAAACAGAGGAGCCCAGTACAAGTGGGCTAAATGTTATGCACTCTACTACTTTATTCAAAGTTCTTGGACATATTTCACAATAAAAACAAGCCCTGCTTTATCAGCTGAAGCTATTGCAATTCAGCAGATGTTGTTGAAGCCAAAACTAGATGCAGAGAGGAGGGGCCGCATAAATATACTGACCCATATGTTTACAGCAGGGGGGCAGCATTACCTGTACCCCACATACAACTTCAGAGGAAATGGTTAGCGACCCACTGCCTTTTAAAAACAAATTCCTCCTTCACACAGATTATAGAATAGGAGGGGGCGCAGAGCCAAGAGATGACGGAGCTACATTTAAACTCGGAGCGCTGCCGGCCTTGCTCGATGACGATGTATTAATAGACAAGTGTGTATCGTTAGCAGCTCTCCACCTAACAAGCTGCAAAAGTTTGTACAAAACGTCTGTAGTCTCCTGAAAGGTAGTTACTATGTTCTGTAAATATTTCTTAAAGATCTACAGTACATAGGAGATTGGAATAGTGACAATATTATTGTAAACCTGCCTAACCAGACACCTTGATGCCACATTTAACATCTTTATGTACGCATTTATCTCTAGTTATTTACCTCATAAAGCTGCACGTGTTATCAGCCACACATCTAATATTTCCCAACAGGCAGCGTGGGAGCCAGAAGAGGGTGACAACATGCAAATCAACCCTTCCATCTGTGGCCTTCCAGTCTATTTCCACCCATCGCGCGAAAGATCGAACAAACAAAGCATTCGGCTCATCTGAACATGTTAAGGCTCCCTCGCCTGCGAACATTTCGCAATGTGTTGATGCAACGTAGAAGGAGATATACGAGTTATTACAAGATCAAAACATAATTGGTACTTTTAGGACCTTTGTAGGCAAAAAAGTATGTGCAACCTTTGGCTTTGATTGGTCCAGTCAATTACCGTTTAAATATATATTGTATAGTACTCTTTCTTTGTGAAAATGTTGAGTGGCGTTATAAAAACACATTACCTCAGTGAGTTTGCTGCCCCCCCCCCCCACACTCTTGATAAATTAGGACCTGTAATCTGTAAGAGGATTAACCACCTACCCTGTGAACACATGCACCCTAACCGACGCACGCACGCACAGTCACACGCAAACCAGGCATTTTGTGTTCTTTTTACGTCGCCTTCCCTAATATGACCCGACCCAGTGTCTCCCTGTGACACAGTTGGGCTGCCTGATTCATTCGCAGTTATTATATTATTGTTGTAAACGAACTGAATATTTTTTTTTATCCTTCTTCTAAATCAGATACATTAGCCAAATGTATTTGTGATTGTAGATTTTTTTTCATGGATTACCTTCCTTAACATTGGACAGTGCTCACAGTTTGATACAGAGGCTCTACATTACACTAATTGTTGCTTTATCTATTTATTTATTTTTTAAAAGGGGGCAATGTGCCTTTAACAAGCAGTAGATAGTCAGGTGACTTGGCGGAAAAAATGCTACGATGCAGAAAGAAGTTTCTGCCCACTCAGTAGTCGGAGGAAAGCGCTTGCAGTTAAAGAGCAAGAAAGCTTTAGACACCTTCTCAAGTAGCAGTGTTACACAGGGGGAGTCAGAAAAGCAAAAACAAGGAGTGGACAGACAATGCTGTTATTCTGTAAGCTTGCACTGCATTCTTTTTTAATACTGAATAATCTTTATTTAGTGCACGTTGTTAAAACAATGATGAATCATACATGCCCAAATGTGATCATCAGTGTTGGATATATAACCAATCAGTACAGCTGCTGTTATTTTCTAAGCCAAAACATTAAAGTAGCAGTGAAGAGGATTAGGTCGTGACAGACAGGCAAATTGTCCCCGAAAGACACATGAATGTTCTGGATTAGTTGCTACGTCACCTTTCCCCATCAACAGGACAACAGTGTCTGAGACGCTGACAAGGCAGATAACAGCCGTCCTTTAATACCAGACCTGCAAATAGAATCCAGTGAGTTTACCACATTAGTTGTCTGCGTGTGTTTTCATTTCAATAAAACATAGGAACAGTAATAGTGACAGCGGTAGTCTTGAATGAGCTCTCTATAGACATTCTGCACTGCATGTCTCAGCAGAGAAAACAGGGGTTCATGCTAATGATCCTTACCTATTTCTGGAGCTGCTTTTTTCTGCTTCTTGCACCACAGTCAACCCCGCTAGGACCAGGAACAGGCCTGGAGGCGGAGCCAGGAGAGGACACTTTATCCTATTGTGCATTACAAAGAAGTCTACAGGGAGCTGCATGGATCTATTTTTCCACAGTATGATTCGCTGACAGTTTTTGTTGGAGTTCATCTCTGGTGCCAGTCTGCTGCCGCGTCCTTTCTTACTCTGAGATCTTGATCATCTGATGCACTTATGCAAGGCACTGAGCTGCTGTGTCACTCTGCAGGATCTGACCATGACTCAGTGGTTCTTCGGCCAGCAAAGCGTCTGCATTGACGTCTCGGTTTACGCCTGTCTCTCTCTTTGGAAATGACTGTAATTGTTTTCAAAGGATAATATGATCAGCGCAAATAAGCGCCTATATAAATATACTTTAATGTATCAATCTACAGACTTAAACATGATTTATATATATATGTTGAGTTTTCTGACTACCTGCCTGTGTTGCATCGTTTGTTAGGTTTACATGCTATTACCATACCTTGTCTCATGTACATGTTCCTTTATCTTCATTGGTATATGTTGTTGCAGATGATGGCTCTATATTAAGGATGGTATTGCTTTAAAGCATATTCATCTCAACGAAGCAAAGCAGTGAGAATATTAAGCAATAAAAGTATAGTAGTATAAATTGCATGACATTCCTTCACACATGGATTTACCATACTGTAACCTAACCAGGGGTCAGTCACTATTATTGATAGAATAAGATCATTTTTGTTGGTAGAAAGCTTCAACATATTGATTGAATTAACTGTAGTAACATTGAAGAGTCCCATGTTTTTAACCCACCATAATGCAAGTGAAGCAATGAAAGCAACATGTTCAAAAGTTATTATTGAGTAATGTTTTTTCTTCTTTCTAATTGCAGGAAAGGACATGGCCTCAGAATGCAGTTTTTCTTAAAAACATCTTCTCCAGGGAACTGGTTTCGGATGGTGTTTTAGAGTTTAAAATATGATCTAGCACCATTTGAAATCGGTGTTCTTGAGAGGGAACCGACTCCAGGAAGGACGACAGTGACCACTTCATTCACAAGTTGCATCACTAGGATTTCATTATGGTGGCATTGTTTTCACTCAATATTTTACAAACCATTTTCAGATGTGTTATGCCATCAGTCAAGACAATCCATTTATATGATTATGTGGCCACTGGATAAGTCCTTTATTAGCTTTTGCTCCAATAACCAGAAGAAAAAAGGGTGTTGGACGTCTAAATCTCCTGAGCAGCTGTCCGCCCCTCTTACCAAGGCTGACCGTTTTCGTCTGGTGTTCAGAGTTTCCATCATGTCTAGCACCATTTGAAATCGGTTAAAATGTAGAGGGACTATCAACAAAGCTTGGCTCCAGCAGTTGCATGATGGATTCCCTAAAAGTACCAGAAGATGGCAGCAATGAGCTACGATCCAAGGCTAGCGTGTTTGTTTTTTTTAATTAGAGAAGGAGTGAAGGTTTTACCAGATAACCCTGATCCCTGTTCCATTGAGTTCCTTTTTGTTAGTCTGTTGCACTTTTAAATAATTCAGTTTCTTCTATAATCATGTTGCTGTCACTCAGCCGTGTCGCGTGCAAGTTCCAGATATAGTTACCTTGTCCTGTAGGTTTCCTCCAGGAACAGATGGAAGCTGGTAACAAAGAAAAGATATGGTTAATGCTTCAGTAGTTCAGAAGTTGTGAGCCGTTTTCACAGCTGTCAAGTTCTGATATTCCCTTCATACATTTAAATCTAGAAATAGTGCACATTATTTGTTGAATTAACATTTGTTGGCCAAATTTCCTTACTTTCTGTTTCATTCATAAATAAAAAAGTGGTCAAAGTTGTACAGTGTTTTATTTATCTCATTAAATGAGGCCGTTTTGGCTGACTATGTAATACAAATGTAGCTAATAAACTATTTATGTTTTATATGATTCATGTTTAAGTTTGAGTTTATTTTTGTATTATTTTAATGTCAGCACCAATGTCATCTTTTCTTCGATAGCAACTACTTAAGGTTTTTATTAAACCATTTCCAATTATAACCCATAGAACCCATAGGTCACAGAGGCAATTATTTTGAGTTTTGGCACTTTATTAGTTATGTAATCTTGTAATACATGCCTGCTTTTACCCATATGGTTAAGGTTAAAAGGCAGGTTGATTGACAAATCAATTATGAATGTACATTTAGTTGCAATTTTATTTGGTGAATTTGGCTTAAACTAATGCATTCCTGAAATGTATTTTCCCTTCATGTATATTCTAATTTATTTTTAGTGTTGAATTGTAAAGCAATGGATTTGCTCTGCCCATTCATATCAACAATGGTAGGTCAAATAACAGAAAAACAGCCAAAATACTATTTCAGTTGATATTCACAGCATTTTGCATCTCTGTTGCAATAAATATCAGATATGCCATCATGTTTAGCATAATGTGATACTATGTACAAGTAGTTAGCTTAAGGAATTCTTAATGTCTACATAAGTAACCATAACATAATATGCAACCACAGAATCACACAATTTCAGATGAGGAACATTTTCTATTTATCGGCTGATATGGACCTAATTTCTATAGAGTATCAAAAGAAACTGAAAAGTCACCTTACACTTTCTCTTTTGACATTTTCTCTAACTAGAGAGTAACAGTGCCCAAAAAAAGGGTTAACTGCAAGTAGCCGTCCACTGCAGCTCGAATGACTCCCCACTACCTACTGACCTTCTCAATAAGAGTGACAAGTGTTGGGGAGCTAAATAGAAAAGTCTTAAAATAAAAAAATTCTAGACTTGACCAGGGTAAAAACCTTCACCCCCACCATGTCTTTATTTTTATCTCTGGTGTCTGCAAGAAGCCAACCTGGCGAATGGGTAATGATTTATTCTTAGGAGAGTCAGTTGCTATATCAACAATAAACAAGAAAATCCATGTCCATTTCCTTGTAACAAATGTGAGTCATACGGCGTGTCTCGAGTTAGCATGACATCAGCAGTGGCATCCCTTCATGATCCACCCAGCTCTGCTTCCACACGCCCTGTCTGCTTCACTGTAATGTGGTAAGTGTGACTGTGTCTATGGTTGCGTAAAGCACTTTCTGTATTTTCCCTTGACCTCAGCTGATGTGGGAGGAGGAACAACGATCAAAATGATAGATTGGTTATAGTAAAAACAATAACTGAAGATTTAAAGTGAGATTGTGTGAGTTATGAAAGAAAAAATAGCATGCTTATGAGTTGTATTCATGTGAATTCAAATTTGTGCTGATACAGCCCTAATTCTATGACCACCAGTGCTTAGGGTGGCTAAAGTCAGCTAACTTTAGATATTAGAGTCAGATCACTAACCTAACTGCTATAAAGGTTTGGGTAGAGTTGATTAAAACCAGATTGTGTCAGTAAATAAAAAAAAGGGAGGTGTTCACTGTTATTGTATATGGGCATTCCTGGAAGGCATACATAGTGTTGCACACGTTTGTAGTTAGAGTGACAGAAATGGTTGGATACATTATTAAGTGGGTGTGAATATCAGATTTTCCAAAGTAAAGGAAAATGTTACAAACAGCTTTTATGTTAGGGAGGACATCTTCCTTTTCATATTTGTATTTTGTGCCTCTACTGTGACATGTTTCCATGCTTTAATGTTCAAAAAGCTCTCTATTTTTCTCACTACCTGTGCTGCAGCACCTATTTTCACCCTCTGTCTGAAACCAGAGGCCAGTCTGCTCTGATTGATTATCTAACCAGATCAGTTGTAATTGGTCAACCACCTAGTACCTAGCTCCTTATCTTATCACGTTCAACGTGTAGCGCTAACCAATAGAAGCCCAAGTGTTACTGATGTCATTGTGTAACATCATTAAACAAAGGAGTCCAATCCAGGGGTTTCAGTCAGGGGTGGTAGAGAAACTCCTTTAAATGTGTTGTTTTCTGTCATTTGTTTTTATAGTTGAAGAGGTCACTGTTAAGCAAAGGTTACACCCACTAGTATTAAGTGTGGACTGCGAAATTCGGAACCGCCCTATACTTCACCTCAACACTTACATTTGTGTTGCTGCATGCAGTTATTGTCAGCAACATGTCTACATATTAAGCGTTAGTAAAGGTTCTGTTCATGTATTTACTGGTGTGGAAGCAGGCTGCTCATGACAATACTTATAATCCATATTGTTGAAGATGCTTACAGTAAGAACAGCTGTATGGAAAGCATGTAAACATTTACATTAACATGACTGCCACACTGATGGTACGTTTAACATATGTTACTGGTCTAACCCTGAGGCTTTAGTGGGAACCATTTATGTCTTGTTGGTTTTCATTTTAAAGATCTCCATCTGCCCTATACTCATGAGAACAAGGTTAAAGAGGAGCTTCAAGTATTTTACCAACAAGTGTTATTTCCTGTTTCATTCTCTTACCGCCACTGTTAAGTCTGTTGTGCTATGACCACTCTCCCCATACTCACCAAATTATGACCATTCACTAAAAATAGATAAACACTGAAAAAATCGACAAAGCCTACGCCACATTATTTAGGCTGCCAGGTTTATTTTGCAATGCCACAGAAAAGACGAGTTGGCCTGCGTGTGGGTGAGGTTTTATTTCGTTTTCTTGTTTACCACATGTGTAAACTTGAATCACTTCCTGTGTGGTGAGATTCCCCTCTAGCCATAGGGACTCATGCAGGGCTAACAGGGCGGATGTGCCCTAACACTATGTGACGGCCACACATTGATTTAAGGTGTTTTTTCTAAACTGTAGTGGCAGGGGAAAAGGTTTAAGGCATGTTGATTATCATGAAATGAAATGAACTATGATACATGTATATTATCCGCGCTACTGCAGTAGTTAATGTCCACTTGTATGTACGGTTTGAGGGTGTGGTTCTGCAAGCCTCATCTGCATCACCTGTCGCGGCGCACCCAGAGGCTTTTTAGTGGGCGCGTCACCGGGATGCCAGGTGTTGGTTCTCACGGGAGGAGGAAGCGTGTGTGTGGCGAATGCGGGTATTCAGCGGGATATTTAAGTTTCCTCAGCATGTATACATATATTAAAATGCAACGGGGAAGGAACTGAAAGTAAATGATTATGGATATTGCATCGACCGACCTGGAAGCACGTCTCCTTGGAGAGGACGCGCACAGATAGAGAGAGAGATTCTCTCCAACACAGGGTGAGATCGCTCCTTTGTGCCACGCCGATCTTCGTATTTTTCTTTCAGTGGATTATAGCCTAAATAGGCCTACAAACATTTCCAGTGTTTTGCTGCCGACGGGCGCAGGAGCAACAGCCTTTTTTTTAATCAATTAACTATGGCCTGGATAGGCTGGATTAGGCAGTAAAGACAATTCCGGTGTATCGCCGAGCTGACTTTTTGTTGGGTTTTGTTTGGCTCGAAAACTGTGAATACACTTGAATAACGTACAAAACCTGTCTTTGTTTATTTTGTGAATGTGTGCATATCGACCGTAGTAAATACACTTCCGTGAGGACTATTTTGTGGAAAGAGCAGATTGTCCGTTTATCAGTTCTGTCCGCTATCCGGTGCCGCACATTCAGGACTTTTCGGCGCATCTGGCCGGTACGGGGGTGTTTTCCAAGGTGGACCTGGTGCGTGGATACCACTAGGTGCCCATGCACCCCCTGGACATTCCCAAGACAGCAGTGATAACGCCTTTTGGACTTTTTGAGTTCCTACGGATGCCTTTTGGACTCAAGAATGCCGCTCAGACGTTCCAGCGCCTGATGGATTCGGTGCTGCGGGACCTGCCGTTTGTGTTTGTCTACCTCAACGACATACTCGTCGCCAGCGCTTCAGTACGGGAGCACCTGTCCCACCTCCGAGCCCTTTTCACACGACTCAACGAACACGGATTAATCATCAATCCTGCAAAGTGCCAGTTCGGGGTGTCTGACATCGATTTCCTGGTGAACCGCGTCACAAGGGCATCCGACTCCTCTGCCAGTGAAGGTTGGACTGTTGCACTTTTTCCTCGCCCGCTCACAGCACGGTCGTCCGTGAGTTTCTGGGGATGGTGATTCCTACCACCGTTTTCAATCGCCCGGGCCGCGCACGATCATGGGCCAGGCTGTATCAAGCGTTGAAGGCATAACCCCTGTTCAGGCAATCGACTGGACGCAGAGGCGGACGTGCGGCTTTTGTCTGAGGTCAAGACTGCGTCGGCTCAGGCTGGACTTTGCTGGCACACCATCATCTACGGCTCCCATCTCCATCACCACGTACGGCGTCCGGCACTAACGCGGTCCGGCGCAGTGCACGAGCAGTGGGTGGAGAGCGCTTGGCCAGCCGCTCGCCTTTTTCACCCGCAAAGTTGACGCTAGGGAAGAACGCAAGTAGGTACAGCGTCTTTGACCGGGAACTCCTCTGGCTTTATCCTGGGCGTGCGGCACCTTCCGTTTCCATGTGCTGGAAGGCCGTGAATTTACGCGTTTGTCGAACCACAAGAAGCCGCTCACCTTCGCCATGTCAAAGTGGCGGAGCTTGGTCCGGTCCAGCGCCAGCAGCGGCAGCTTCTCCTAAACATATGGAGTTCACTACGGCGTTAAGCAACGTGGCTGGCCAAGTCGAACCTGGTTGCTGATTGCCCTCTCTTCAATTGCAATGTGGTGTGTGTTTTTGGCCCCCGTCGGACATTTCCTCAGACAGGGGCTCTCAGTTCACGTCCGAGCTATGGAAGGCTGTGGCAGGCGGTTGTGGGGTTAAGCTTGCACAGGACCTACCCTTACCACCTCAGGCTAACGGCCTCTGCTAGCCGCTTCCATCGCTCCATGAAACGTCCCTAAGGCCCGGCCTTAAGGACGGCCAACTGGGTCGACAAGCTGCCCTGGGTGATGCTGGGCCTGCAGGAACAGCACCTAAGGAGGATCTTGAACGTGTTCCT